AAACGTATAAAAAAAGATCTTTAATCAATTGTGTAACGATCTACAAAATCGGGGCACTCGGGACGTTCCTACCTCGAGGTAGTTGCAGAAAGATTTACTATCACGTGATATAACATCCAATCAGATTTCGAGATCAGGTGTAACGTGAAAATCAAAACAATCAAAACAATGCGTTCAATGCGTTACACTTGATCTTGAAATTTTCTCACGACAACGTTCAAGAAAGAAGAAACTTATGACCAACCGTTGCAAGAAACTCACGAACCAACCATTGCGACCAACCATGCAAGAATTCAAGATTCCTATGTTTTAGAAATAAAGTAAGTACTTCTATTATATAGTTTGCAGTTGTAAATCCTGCGGGCTACCTTTCCATTTGTGTAAGTGAAAATGCTTCTGCTAGTTGTGGTGATCGGATTTGAGAGGCTCCACTACAAGGGAAAGGCCGATGATTTCTTTTTTGCGGAAATCATGGTGCCAGTGATTTTTCGTGAAAGTCAAAGGCCTGTACCAGCGGAGTGGTTTCATCTTGAAGAAGATCGAGGTTGGGAAGAGGAGGGCTGCTTCTAGTGGAACATTGGATCTGCACATAATCCGTGGATTACCCGACGGCCAACCCGGATATCATTTTTGAAAATTTTTTTTTCTTTTGATCTTGTTTATTTTTTTTTAGGAAAGATTTGCTAAATAATTTTTTCAAGTGTATAAAATAAAAAGATGTAAATCTTGTGCACAATGCACATAATTTATGTAAATAATTTTTAAAAAGTGCAATAAGCATGTTGTATACAGATTTTTATATACTGGTAATGACAAAATGTTAAATTTTATATACTACAAAAATAAACGTTTATTTATCCGAATAATGTTTAACTTTTGTTTCTTATTATTCCTTTTATTTGTTGTAAGTATAATAGAAAATAAAAATATGAAATATAATAAGAAGTACAAATATGAAAATACGAAACAAAAAAAATAAATCATAATTTATAATTAGAGCAATATGGTTAAGTTAGATTCGAACTATCGAAACTGTACACTTAATTTGTGGTAATGCTGGATTTGCTAACACTTTTCTCCAATTTTGATCAGTTTGTTTTTATGTAAAAATAATCACAACTATAGATTTCAATGAGCCGATTATTTATTAAAGTTCTACAGAAATAGCCTAAATTTTAACATAATTACAGGGGCAGGAGCCGGACATCGGCAAAATTTCTAAGTATACGGTTCTAAGATTAAGCTAAGATCTTCCACCTACATCTTATTATATATTATATATAGGGATGTTAAAAGTCTGGTCCGGTCCGGTCCGACTCCATGAGTCGAGTTTTAATCTAGACTCGGTCCTGAGTCAGACTTGGGACCAAGTCCCAGTAATCTCATAGTAATAATCACATGCAATATTAGATGTCATGGGGCATTATAACGTAATATACTTGAACCAATCGGAAATTGCCCAGAGGTCCATCGAAAATTACTATCACATGACAATAATATTGTTGAATTATGAAAAAGTGACAAGAAATTTTTAGAACCCAAATAAATAAGCTTCTAATTAAAATTGTAGATACTAAACAGGTATAAAGATATTAATACGAAAATTTATTCCATTATTCGGGATAACCGATCTGATTTTAATATTTTTCACACAGCAACTAAACAAAAAGACCATTTTATACCTTTGTTGATAGCTCAATCAAGATCATAAAAATAAAAATAAAATAAATAAAAAATCAAAAAGTAATAAATAAAATAAAAATTACAAAAAAAAAAATTTTCAAAGAAAAAAAATCCCCAAAATCAAAGTTTAGCTCAAAACGACATTGTATTTATGGAATCCTAAGTCCTAATAACTATATCACAACGGCACAAGTAACCTTTGTAAAAAAAATAAAATAAAGTTAATATGCAGTCCAAGCATCTTCATATGTGAGTAAGTGCTGTTAAGGGAAAACCTGTCATCGGGCTTTCAATAATATTTTGTATCGGACACAATTTAATTCGTTAGGGATTTTGTCTGATACAAAATATAATCAAAAACCCAATGACAGGTTTTCCCTTGACAGCACTCACTTACATATGAAGATGCTTGGACTGCATATTAACTTTATTTTATTTTTTTTACAAAGGTTACTTGTGCCGTTGTGATATAGTTATTAGAACTTAGGATTCCATAAATACAATATCGTTTTGAGCCAAACTTTATTTGGGGATTTTTTTCTTTGAAGTTTTTTTTTTTTTTGTAATTTTTATTTTAGGCAATTTCTATTTTAGGCAATTTCTATTTGTACCCCCATGTTTGAAACACAGGTGTATTAATAACTCAAAATTTTGCTTATGAAACCACTTTCTGAGTTCTAACAAAAAAAAAATCTATGTAAATATGAATGATGAGACAAAATAAAAATATTTATTTACTTAAATCTTACCAATGCAATTGCGCCCGCTGGTA